GACCCAATTAATGCCCAAGTGAAGGAAAAATTGGGACAGCTTAGCCCTTAAACGTTCTGCTTGCCATCCTATCAGTACACGTGTACCAACTACCCAGTCAAACAGATGGAGCTTTAAATTAGCCATAGCTAGGACTGCTGTCAGTTAGCCAGGCATGGTATGAAGGATGCTGAAAGAGGACAAGACTTGGTGTGAAGGGAGTACGGGAAACATAAAACAGAAGGCACAAATCTATAAAAAGCAGGGTTGACAGGTTCTGCTGCCTATGTAACAACCTGTTCATTTTTATTTTTAAAGGAGTTTAACCTAATAAGTCTAAAGTTTGACAGCTGTACTTGTCAATTCTCCATCTGAAGCAAACTCTACTGTATGCAGCTATGCACAGCTGAGCATATGGATGTTATTTTTCCGTAAGATTACTCTATTACTAGCCATTAACCTAAATGGACAAGGTTATCCCACATTTAACCATTAGAGGGCTTTATTCCATGCAAAAAACAGTTGTTTTCCAATTCAGTGTTCACTGCCTTTGAAAAAAAAATCTAAACTCAGACAGTAGGAGCACTATCTTTAAATGCAATCCATAAAAACTAAGTTCTGTAAGTAGTCGAAGCAAAGAAGAATAAATCTTAGGATTAAAGACATTACTATGGATGCCCAGCTGCTTCAGGATAAATTAAAAAATCTGAGCCTGTGTCACAAACAGGTAGTGAACACGGACTAGCTACATTTCTAGGCTGAAATGTTTTACCAACGCATACCTAGTTGCTGGGTAAGGATGCATACCAAACAGCACAGACCTGAAGAGCCGAACAGCACCTAAGGTTTGCTTTTAATGAAGCCAGCAGAATTAAGTTACCTGTAAGATAGCTGGGGCACATTAGAGGAAAAGAAACTAAGGGATAAACTAGCAGAGAAACAGGAACAGTAAGATAGGACCTTACATCTGAAGCAGAAGTGACACAGCATAGCTCTGAAAGGGGAAAGGATGGAACATAGATGGGACTGAGTGCAGCACAGTGAAAAGCAACACTTACCTCAACAGGCAGACAGTTGTGTATGCAAGCACAGTGCTCAGAGGGCCGGCTGCACACCATGACGAGAGCAGGATGACCGTATCCCTAAGGCCTGGGCTGAAAATCTTGTCTGAGTAGTAGCAGGTTAGTTGGATTTCTCTCAAACGATATGTAAGTTTACGGACTAAACACTGAGAAGTTACTCTGCAGAAATTTAAAAGCATCTCAAGACATTTGCCAAAGTAGAAATAATTATTTTATGTTCCATTATAACAGAAAAGTACTAGTCTTAGTTGTTTGCCTAGTATCTTTCTACACTGCACAGGTATTAGGGTTCTTCACAACGTTTTCCCAACATTCCCCCATACCTGAATCTTTTAGTCAGAGAAAGACTGCTACATTTCTGCCTCCAATACAGATTCCATAGAACACACATCACAAAATCATAAGGACTGTCACAGAGAACTGAAATTATTCAGCAAGTTTGGGTTGGTTTTTTTTTTGTTTGGGGGGTTTTGTTTGTTTTAATAGTATTTGTTCATGTATTACCTTCTCACTAATAACCCTATTAACAGTCTCAGAAACCATACCTAGATGCTCTCTAGATTTACTATTTTTGTGAAGTTATGGAAAAAGCTTAATAAAAATTGATTTTCAGAGACACGGACATTTTTCAGACTGGTAGAGTAACAAATTTTTGTACAATAAGCTCTGAAATGTATGCATCTCCTCTAGCTAGCTCAGTGGATAATTATTGGGTTAAAGATAGAATCATAGAATGGTTTGGGTTGGAAGGGACCTTAAAGGCCATCCAGTTCCAACCCCCCTGCCATGGGCAGGGACACCTTCCACCAGACCAGGTTGCTCAAAGCCCCATCCAACCTGGCCTTCTTGAACACCTCCAGGGATGGGGCAGCCACAGCTTCTCTGGGCAATCTGTGTCTGTGCCTCACCACCCTCACCATGAAGAATTTCTTCCTAACATCTAATCTAAATTTTCTCTCTTCCAGTTTAAAGCCATGGACCCTTGTCCTATCATGCCCTTGTAAAAAGTCCCTCCTCAGCTTTCTTGTAGGTCCCTTTAGGTACTGGAAGGCTGCTGTAAGCTCTCCCTGGAACCTTCTCTTCTCCAGGCTGAACAACCCCAACTCTCTCAGCCTGTCTTCACAGGAGAGGTGCTCCAGCCATCAGATCATCTTTGTGGCCTCCTCTGGACTCGCTCCAACAGGTCCATGTCCTTCTTGTGCTGGGTGCCCCAGAGCTGAAGGCAGTACTGTGGGGGGTAGGGGGTTGGGTGTGGTGTCTCACCAGAGCACAGCAGAGTGGCAGAATCCCCTCCCTTGACCTGCTGGTCACGCTGCTTTGGATGCAGCCCAGGATACGGTTGGCTTTCTGGGTTGCCAGCACACATGGCCGGGTCATGTTAAGCTTCTCATCAGCCAGCACCCAAGTCCTTCTCCTCAGGGCTGCTCTCAATCCATTCTCCACCCAGCCTGTATTCGTGCTTGGGATTGCCCCGATCCGGGTGCATTCTTATTTAGAAACTAAGTGTAAGTAACTTTACCCTTTGGAACCTTCTAAACAGTCTTCTAAATATTCCACTGATCGAACCTGTTTGGCTAGCTACAGTGGTGTAGAAAAACTAGTTTTAAAAAAATTAAAGCATTTGACTGGCTGTTCTGGTACTCAGGTACAAATTAACACACCACCACCCCCTGTCCCCTCTTAAAAATCTCGTCTAATTATTTCTCTTCTTACTGATTTACTCCATTACTATTTAAGGTGGTATTTTGTGGCCCATGTTACTCAGGACAGCAGGTTACATGCATCTGTTAGTACCTCAGGACTTAAGTTCATTTACGATATCTTCAACAGCCTGGGCGTACCCTTGCAAAGTTCTGCCACTTTGTGCAAAATTTAGATACAGTCTGAGGTTAAGAATGGCATGAATAGAAGCCAACTCACTGATCATCACCTAATTCACTGCATAGCCATTCCAGTGTAACACCACCAAACTAGACAGCTTGAGTATTACTACTCTGCAGCAAGCATATAAGCAGCAGAAGCACGTGGTATCTCCAGACAATGTGCAAACTGTGACACATCTAAGGGTCAATTACTAACCTGCACTTCAAGGTTATAAAGACAGAACCAAGCTGACACAAAACACTAGTTTCCAGGTATGCAAGATGTAGTTCTCTATAGAAATCTTGCCTTACTCATTTCACACTGGGTAGAAACACATCATTTAACATTAATACTTTATTCTAGACTGATGTTCAGCTGTGTGAACTATTTGTAGCTTAAGACATGAATGGTTTTGTTCTTGGCTTCATGTTACTCATAACCTTTAAAATATTCAGAAGTAACATACATTCTCAAAAAAAACACTCTTATGAAAATAGTTTAGTACCATCGGTTACTAACAGTCAATTGGCACAGAGAGAGAACTGCATTAAGCTTTAAGTGGCTGATTCAAATTAGATGCATTGACCATTAAAAACCTAATAGTAAGTAGCCATGACTTGAAATAGTGTTCCCAAGTAGCTTTATCTGCAATTGTCTGTCAGGCTTATCAAAGTTAAGAACCAAGACACTCGGAAGTTACTGTGCTATCTGAGAAGTGTAGCTTAAGACCCTTTCAGCCATTATGTAGAAGCCTTAAGTAAAGGCATCAAAAGGTTCTAGTTAGACATGGAAGAGTTTGGCTTGACCTTAAGACCACTTTTATTGAAGGGAATATAGGAAAAGAGTTCCAGAGCAACTTGTGGCTCAAGCTACAATTAGGTATTACAGAATAAAAACATTTCAGAACAACCAGAAAACATGTCATGAGAAAATCAATCTGGGGAGGGCAGAGAGGGCTTACTCCAGGTAGTAAGCAAGATGAAGTATCACTTTGCTGCCTTGTCTGGAAAAAATGTATGGTAGGAAGGCAGTCTCCTTATCCCCGGAGCGTAGCTCCAACCTTATCCCAATGCCACTTCCTCCTCTTGGATGTTTCCCCATCAGATCAAGCTACCAGATTTTAAGAGTGCCTAACAAATTAGATAGCTAGTAATATTGCTTACAGCTAGGATACTCACTTGAGTTTAAAGGTTTCAGTGTCTCCACTGAGCCTGACAGTGTTATAACACCAACACCCAGAAATTCCATTTTAGAAATAAAACCAGGTAAAGTGACTTTAACAAAAGCTCCTGAAAACAAGACTGAAGTGTCCACCTAGCTCTTCTAGCACTTTTTTTTAGAGAACAAAAATTGGTAACTGGCTAACGGACATCTAAACTAAACTGCTTCTAAGGAGTCTGCAGAAGGTCAACAACAGGCTTAGCCATTATAACTAAGTCTTAAATTCACTCCAGTGGCCTGCACACAAAGAAATACTTTTTAAGTCTTCCTCAAAGTCAGAGGATGGTGCTAACACACACATATCCTAGCCTAGTATCAATATCGGTCTCAGATAGATGGTTTTCACTATTTTCCTGCATTTTGTTATCCATGGAACTTCACTAGTAGGAAATGAAGTTGAAGAGTCATAAGTAAATGCAATTCCATTTATTTTCCAGCAACATCCCATACAAAAGCAATAGAAACACTAACTGCTTTCAGCAG